GTTTGATTTGCGGTAACAATGGTATTGTTTTTCACGGTTGAAGTAACCGCAATCAAACACTACCATATTCTGGGGAAATATCGTTCGATAAACATTATTTTATCCATAGATACATAAATATTCGAGTTTTCAACCTGACGTCCAGTACGAAAATTTAAAACATACATACTTCTTCTCCTTTGCTTGACCTCAATTTCAAGAGACAATAATCCTTCGAATTTCGATAACTACGTTATCATTCTGCAATTGAGATCTTGTAGCTTTTTATGCTTCAAACATCTCACTAATAGAGTACGTTTTCAAGATTTCTCTAAAAAACGACTTTCCAAAACTATCATACAATCAAATATCATCAACTTAAACTCGACATACACTCCCGCTTATAAATATGTGAGTACTTATCCAGTCTGCAATAAATATCACAAGATATTACGGAATTACTGAAAGCCCGAAATAAATATTGTTTACAGTATATTAAAGCTCAATCGACAAAGCTCATGATACAACGAGACAAAAAACAAGGCTTAAATTAATTTTCATACATACAATTATCTTTTCTACGATTCCATTTTTTCCTACAATTTCTTCATACATACAAGATCTCCTAATACTTATGAACGGTAGTGTACATAAAAGTCCCCAAGAGTGGATTCAAACAGTGCAAATTAATTATCCGTTCGTAACCCTGAGTTGCGCGTTAAAATGATCAAAAATATTCATACATGTCCCGAACACAGCCAGGTAGCTGAGGATATGGAAGAGCCTCCGTTTCCCCGGGCAGACTGTTAATAGTCGCGTTGTTGTTTATCGTGGAAGTTTGGATCGGTTTTGCACGACGGCGGCGACGACGACCTTGCTCAGATTGGAATTGTCCCGGTAAATTGTTCCCGGGAGTTGAATTATAACGGTCCGCCCGTTCGCGGCAATTCCATTTGCCGACTTTATTGCGTTAACCGACGGGACGAGCACGACCACGGGAACAAGAGAGATAGAGAAAGAGAGTGAGGTGTCCCGCGGATAGGACACGCGATGTCTGTGGAAGTAGCAGCGGCTAGGAGACGATAGATCAAAAGGCTTTGTCGAGATCCTCTCTCGTAGGCCTGGTCTTCCAATTCCGTGATAACAGTCGATTACTCTCACACGTCTGCGCCACGGTCTGTCAATGGGCCATTTCGAGTGATCATGATCATCATCACATGGTGATCGATATAAGTCGATACCAGTGCAGGGATAAAAATCCAACCAGGGGAGTAAGTACACTAGTGTCCACTTAGTGGACAGTAGGCCTAAGTCCACCGAGAATTAATTTACAACAGGAGGAAAACCCTGGAACGATTTCTGGGTCGTGTGGCGATCCTGGGAGCGCGCAATGCTTTGAGGGCTCGGACCGTGGAGTTAATATTGGCATAACTTTGTGCCGCGAGATGGATTTAGAATGTTGGACGGGGTTAGGGAACTGATGAAACGTGGCTTTTTGGGAGAAGACTCTGGAACTATTCGGTGGTTACTACCTGTGACTAGGGATGAATCGATACAAGTAAATACGAGTATTTAATCGATACTTTTGTTTCAATACCGAATACCTTTGGTATCGATACGTACGGTTGCGATACCAAGTAGCTATCGAAAAAAAGTACTCGAATGGAGTGAGTATCGACCCATCAACATTTGATATTGTAATTACTTTCTACATAAAACAATGTTGTTTATATTAATAATTAAGGAATGTGTATTTAAATATTTTCAATATTAATATAGGTATATAGGACTATATATTTAAATAAATATATAGAGTATAGTATTGTATTTTATTTTCTCTCAAGGTATAAACAACTCTTGTGTTGGGTATCAAGGTTAGGATAATATAATTCGATACAAACAGGTATCAATACTAGAAATCTTGGAGTACTTAGGAGTACAATATGCAATTTACTTCCGTTTATCGTATCACTTAATTCTCCCGAATTCGACCCAACTGCCAAGGAGCCATTCAGTCACGTTCGCGATCGTAAAACAACACTGTGACTTATTACATAGCCGCAGAATGATTCATCGCCTCCAAAGACATCCCGGACACTCGTTTCAGACGGCCATTAAACTATCGCCACCGTATCGTCGATATTTCGCCGCGAATCGTGCCGCGGTAGCTTCTCGGTGATTTATGTTACATTAGATCGCGGCCTCGTAAAGATCGGGTAAAGGGGCGGTTTTCAACGTTCCCCGTGAACGCTATTCCCTGGCCCATCTGATTGAAATGCGATCGCACGAACGCGGACCAACGGTGTATACCAACTACGTTTAAATGTCCTTCTGTTCGTGTGGCCGCCCGAAGACGAACGGACGTTTACTCTGAGTATTTTTCGTGACTGCAATACCATCATCCCTCGGCCGCGAACACGGATTACGTTGATGTTTCATTAACCCCCGGGAACGTCCGTTGTCCCGCTGGTAATCAGGTACCGACGAACTTGGAGCAATTAATCGTACGACCACCGCATCGATTAAACAGCCGACGTCACCGGTATCGATCGCAGAGGGGCCATTTGTTACCGGTCAAGAAAGGATCGTCGGACGAAAATCAACACCCCTGTTTTTGTTCGGGTTTGGATCAGGCTTTGATTACACCGAGCATCTTTTTCACTGTAGACAGGCTTAGGCTTTAGATTACCCAGAAAAATCCATAACAAAGTGTCAAACACTTCGCAGTCGTTTCTCACAAAGGAGCCCAGTCCAGTTGCTTCCATCCGACTTCGATTAAATTTTCACCAAGGTGGTCCACTTTTACCGCCACAAGCAAAAAGCTCGAGCCATCCTTCTTAGCGGTATTCACCACTCCGCCGGCGATATATCCGGGTCTCCTTATCTCTTATAGACGGGGATCGCCCGGAAGTATAGAGCTGCCTTCGCGGAATTCCGCAGGACTTTCATCGACGTTACAATAACTGCAATATATCCGACCCGCGGGGCTGTTCCTTCGCGATACCGGAGGACGGGTCCGCGGCTTCCGTGGATGAAAAGGAGGGTTGTACGGAGACTGGGATGAGAAGACAGGAGTTGGATGTTAAGGGTGTGAGGTGGACTGCTCCGCCGACGATGGTACAACAATGCCCGGGAATATAAATCTAAATCCCGGCCGCCGCCGCCGTCGCCATCCTTCCTGCCCTCCTTGCCAGCCGTCTCTCGCCGTGGTCTCGATCTTCGCTCCTTTCAGTCCCTTCCATTTCTTTCGCCTCTTATTCATCCCCCCCAGCCTGCCTACTTTTACCCGTCCAGACCCGATGCATGCGCCAACCCTTTCTTCTTTCCGTCCCGTGTACCCACGTCGACGTTTATTTCGCCTCGTTCCAACAACGTCTGCTCTACTGGCTACTTCTCTGATTCGATAAGTTTTTATCGTTGTTTCGTTAAGCTCGTTTGAACTGTCGTAGCAACGATTGCTCGTCTTCCTCTCGGTTTTGTGGCGTATTTTTTCAATGTGCTTGACCTGCTTATGGGGTAGTTGTTATAGTGTGGGGATATAAAGAGAAAATATCGTTCAGAGTTTGATTGAGAGGAAGTAATTTTTTCTTGGAATGAATAAAGATGATTTGATGTTTTTCATCTACGGTATATATGTACAAATATTTTGTGAACGTTACTCTAGGATGTACATGTATAGGATATTTCCGAAATGGTGGTAGAATCCGAAAGGATGAGACTCTACGTGCAAAAATAAGTTGAAAATGTAGATTGACATTTTTTCGTACGATGTATCTTTTCCAAGATAATCAGTTTTCAAGATTTTGTGCAGATGTTTGTGCAAATTCACAATTTTAGACCATTGATCTGTACATATTAAAGTAAAATAGAAATTTACTTTCTGTACTACAGCAGATTTTCAAATTCACTTTTTTTCAATTTTGGACTTCCACCACTTTTATTACCACGAGCAAATGTTACAAAAGAATTAAATGAAGACATCCTTATGCAAGTAAATAAAACAGGGAATATATTATCATAAGATGTTCTAATTTCCATAATTCTATCTATACTTTAAAAATCATAATTAAAAAATGACTTCCCACAGTTCCAACTGTTTTTGCTCCAAGGAATATATTCTATTATTACGTACCTGTTCCAACTCCCCATGATAGGATCACCAGGAGCTCGTCTTCTCAATTTAATTCGTTCCTCCCATAATTCCACTTCTTTTTCTTCGACACTGTAAAAGCGTTTCCCTTCGAATGCACTATCAAGACCTTCTGCCCGCCCCCTTAGCCCATTCACTTCTCATCCCTCGCTCGCATAGTTCACCTTGAATGTCTTCTCGCGCCTCCTCCTTCCATCAAGTATCCGCGCGTTTTTCCCTTGTCCCGCGGATCCTTCGTCTCTCTTCCCACCCGCTATTCATCAGCGGCTGCTTTCATTTTCTCGCTCTCTTCCACTTTCTCCGGAGAATAAATATTTCCTCGCGCCGACGCGCCCCGCCCCCTTATCAGTATTTACGACCAGACGTACTCGCAACCCGCGTCGTTTTCAGGGGCTGATGCATAAGTCGCGTGCAGTCTGCTCACCACCTTGCGCCCCCTCTGCGCCTCTAATCTGCGTCTAATGGATGTAGCCCCCCCGTGTTCCATGGGTCGGGGAGTCTCTGGTTTTCTGCGTGTCGCGAACAGTATCGATTGTTCGTTGGATGCGCGCAATTTCGAAGATCAGATAATGATTCTGGGCGCGTGATCTTTATCCATATTTGATATTGATAGATGAACTGGTTACACTTACTAATATGTACAATTCAGCTTTTATTTTCCATAAGATTTAAAACATGATCATTTGATTTTGTGTCACGTTTATTGTGTTAATGTATATAGTAAAGTATTCTATTAGACTAATTCGATTGTTTGTTCAATTTCAGAAACCGATTGGAGAGCAACACGGAACACTGGAACGCTCTGTTGTTGTCTTTGCGCGAGTTGATCGAATGGGTGATCAGAAAAGACACCGAACTCACCGGTCTGGGACCTGTCTGCGGTGACGTGGCCGCCTTGCAAAAACAACAGGTGAGTTTCTACAACTACCTCCTTCAATTCTACGAATCTATTCCGAATTTTGACACATCCACGTTCTAAAAGTTTAACAATCTTTCTGTTGAATCTTTTCATCCCCTAAATGATTTCTCCAGCCTCGACTGTCAAAACGTTAACATCAAACAGATATACAGAAACCTAATTCAGAACAGAATGAGTTAAACGTCGATGGACAATCAGTCCCCATCCTCGACACATCTCCAATAGATACTAATAATACAGGGTGTCCCAAAATAAGTGTAACCCCTTTCAAGGCTTACAACTATTCTGAGACATCCTGTATATCCTACAAACTTTAATAGATCATAAAAACTGGTGTTCCAAAGTACTACACGCCCACTACAAAATCCACAACAAATGCATCAAATTTCATTAACGTGACACCTTCTATTTTGTTCCTTCATTTACGACCACTTATCACCAGTGCCCTATCCTCATCGAGTGTCCCACATAATATATTATCCTAAGCTTACAAATTCCTCGCATTGCACTACCAGTTCATTACCGTTACCATCAAAAAATCCATAAGAAACATTATAATATCGATGACCAACATTGTGTTGGAGTCGCACGATGCCCCACGCAATCTTGTCTCCGGCAAATAGCCTCGTGTACCTTGAAGCGTTCCCTGTAACCTACTGCAATGGACTGGATTACACGAAAATGACGCAATTAGGGGTGCACGCGTGTGTGTGTGTGCATTTGTGCATGGATATATAGTGGGCCACACGTCGTCAGCGACGAGGGGTGGAGCCTCCCCTCCACCTTCCCCCTCGTCGGCCCAGTTTCCACGCACAAAGACGGACTAGTTCGGACTAATCCAGATTAGAACGTGCATGTTACGAGCTACAGCACTCGCGCGCCTACGCGCCCCCAACCTCGGCGAGTGTACTGGGATGATAAGGTGCATGTAACGCGATCCCGATCACGGGATATGTCATCGACAGACGACACCTGGCCGCCCCCCGTCCACTTATCTTCACGAGCCGCTCGACGACAGGGACCCACCCTAATCGGGGATAAGAGTTTCCAAGGGGGGAGGTGGCTTTTAGGAGAAGTTAACCGTGTTTTCGATTGGCTGCTGTCCGGCAACCGTTTAACCGGGTCAGCTGATTACGAGGGCGAATAAATAAACTCGAACGGTATCGATCCTCCGCGAACCGGGGACTGCTAATTACCCGACAGGGGGAGGGGACGTAAGTCCTGGATATGGGTCGTTTCGGGGATGGATTTGTAAGTATTCGGGGTGTGAGTCTCGAATTTCGGGGTAAGTGGGATGATCGATCGACGGGTTATTTCGTACTGGATGGAATAGTGCGTTTTTGTGTCGCGGAGGTGGATCGCCCGGAAATGCCGAACGTGTTGATCGCTTGGACCCAATGTCTACGGGAATCAGTGGTTATTTTGTATGAAATAAAGAGATATTTCGATTAGAACTGGACGCGTATTACTGGAATTTTTAATGCGGATTACAAATATGTAGGGGTTGTTTGTTAATCTGGCCTCGTTCTGTCGGAAGCGTGTCGGTGAACTTCCAATATGGCCTCCATTTGGCAGTCATATCGCGTCGATATGACGTTCCACTGATAAGTCAACCGTGTGCATGTTACTATACAATTTCTCGGTCATTTATTATCAATGTAGAATGAACTGATTATTTTCTGTATTCATAGTCATTTATTATCTTAGAAACGAATGATTTTTTAAGCAATTGGGCATCAAATTGTTTTCGATTTTTCTACGTTTTTACATATAAGAGGAGCTTGACTGGATTCCGGTGTTCACTTGGAGATTACCTTCTTGGCGATTCAGTGGGGGTATTGTTAAGATTAATCATAAATTAGATATGGGTTGGAACCTAATTTTCCAATTCTCGAAACTCGAATCCGAAACTTTGTCAAATTTCGGAACTATCGTGAAGCACTGATTTTCTTTCGCAAGCAGAATATTTCGTTTTAAAAACTGAAGTCTCAACAACATTTTCGCATAAATCTTTACTGACCATAGTTAATCAAAATACAAACAAACTTATCCTTTGCATGTATTTTCACATACTCTACACGCTCTAATACAATGGGTGTATTTTAAATAACCAACTATATAATATTTGTTTATCATGGTGTAGTTAATATTTCATGAATATTCGTTACTTTTTATCGCGCGTACACTGGCCAAAAGTGGTCACAAATCGTCCTGGGAAGCGGGAGCGATTCAATTTTTATCTGGACGATGTTGACGATAAAACGTAATGTATTCTGCGCGATAGCAGTTAGTTCGGCGGGATGTACACGGGGACAACAAATAGTACGCGGGCAAAAAGGTCGTCGCGTACAGGTGTTTCGGAACAATAAGCGAGTTTCGGGGGTTTACGTGATGTGCCAATGTCCCATCTGCGATGCATGAAATTCAAATATCGTTCTTTAAAGCCCTCGACAGTGGCCTCGCCCGGTTCTTTTGCTCCTCGCCGCCCGCCTGCCTCTCCAAACGGTTTTGCTTTTGGTCGTCGTCGTCGTCGTTCGCGACGTGACACAACATGGAACTGCAACACGTGCACGGTATCCTCAGTACACGATCGCTCTCGAACGAGAAACGGTATTCAAGTGGCGGCGTTACAACACAGGGAAGAAGGGAGTAATCTCGTTCTGCTGCTTCTAGATATGTAATTGTGTACCAGCTCGTCTAGCAAGAACGATTGGAAGTTCAGTTTCAATTCCATTTAACACATTGACTGGCACAGTGAAAAAGGCCGTACCTAGCCAGACATACTTTATTTCGTTTTTTAAATCTAAAATCGTCGGAAATATCGTTTATACAAGTTATAGTTCTCTCTTTTTTGAAAATATTTTTCATTATTCAGTAATCTTTAATACTTATATTATTGTATGTTATACAACTCAGTTATTATTTCTAATTATATAAATAAACAAAAATCCAAGGTCAAAATCATACCTTTTTTGGCATCCTGAAAATAGCAGAAAAGAGCTCCATACCTAGCGTCGATATGGGAATAATGGGAAAGATAAATAAAACTGGTGCACGCATTAAGAAACTTTTGTCGTCCGTTGGTGGTACCCACGGATAGGCCAACGTAAGCAGGTTTGACGCGTTGTCGCGCTAAACCGTGAGGCGGTCGAGGGGGTGTGGCAGGAGGGGATAGGGCACGGTGAAAAATTGCGAACCGTCAGATAACCGAGAATTGATGAGTTTTGTAATCTGTAAAATATTTCACGGCCGGTGACGCATAATTTCAAGTCACGAACTAACGCCGTCGCCACCGCGAGAAAACCCAAGAGGGGCGCAAATGCGACCCCCCGCGACTAATGACCGCGCCAGGAGTTAATCCAACAGAACTCTCCGCCGTAGACAGGGATACCGCCAGTTGAACAATATAACGGTCCCCGCGTAATGCCGGAATTCTCGGGAATGGTGCCGCGAACGGCGTTCTAATACGGCCGCGCGAATAGTTGTATATACGGTCGACACGGCGTAATAACTTATACGAATTATGGAACGCGACTTGGCGCGGGTGCTGGGTTAAGATTATATACCGAAGTCGGGAATATTATTTACAAACTGGCCCGTAGACTGCAGCCAGAGTTAAGGTAGAATTTTATTCGAATAATCCGCTTACTGCTGCATTTGTCCACTACAGTAGACGTCTATCACTTTAATGACAATCTTTCAGAACTTAATTTTCTTTATTTATAATTCTCTTGGTGCCCCTGTGCATTTTTTTGCATGTGAGATCAGATTCAAGCTGATTTTCCTCAAAACATGAAAATTAATCGTATGAGACGAGCCGATTTTACGTGGGACGTTCTGTAAATAGGGGAAAGCAGGAATACCTAAAATCGCCATCCAGACATCATTCATTTCATTCTATTTGATTCATTAAATTTAATTAGATCACCTATCAGATGGGAATCGGCTGCCCAAGTAATATAATGCAACGTGTCAGAAAAATTTCACACGAATTTCATCCGTATCTTCAACAATTAATAACTCCGGAACGAAGCCTCAGACGCAAGTTCGTCATTCTTAATTTTCGTCTTAGTTTCGCATGTAGAATCCACCCCCCGAAAGTGTTCCATATTTTTATTAACATCTTGCATACCGTGCATTTAGCACCTTGAATTCTTCAATATGTACCGTGCACTGCGCATCATATCCAATGCACTTATCGTTTATGCACCGTACGTTACGAAACGCACATTACACATTGTGGAATATGGATTTTGTACCATACACTGTGTACTGTGAGAGAAGATAGGGCATAAATTCTACGTTGCACTTCGTACATCATGAATATTCACTCTGTATGCAATATGCACCGTATATTATGTACTGTGTTTAATACTGTACAAACTGTGTACACTGAATTCTGCATTATAAATTCGATGTCATGCCCTATACACTGTACGTTATGTAATATGCACTTTGAACCTTCTGTTATTACACGATGTATTGTGAACCATACACTTTATATTACGTTCTGTAGAATATCAACTACGCACTCTGTATTATTTATTATGTAGTACGTTATGTAATATGCACTTTGAACCTTCTGTTATTACACGATGTATTGTGAACCATACACTTTGCATTACGTTCTGTAGAATATCAACTACGCACTCTGTATTATTTATTATGTAGTATGTAACCACTCTACTCGGTACTCATTGCACTCTACTCAATATACTCAATTCGATGCACTCAAATCGATGCACTCAATTCAATGCACTCGACTCATTGTACTCCACTCAATGTACTCAATTCGATTCACTCGACTCATCGCACTCAATTCGGTGCATTCTACTCAGCACACTCAATTCCATGCACTCCACTTAATACATTGAATTTGATGCACTCAACTCAATACATTGAATTCAATGGATTCCACTAAATACACTCAATTCGATGCACTGCACTCAATGATCTCCACTCAACGCGTAGTTGAAGGTCTATACATTTACAAAATTATTCAACATTTAAAATGCACCGTGAGGCGTAGATAAAAATCCTAGATCTACGAATGGAACGTTAAAGCTCGAAAGAGTTGTCACGCGCCGGATTTCGTCGCGGACCGTCCCGGTTACAGGGATTGCGCTGCGACGATAAATCGATACTCTGGCTGCCGCGGCACGCACGAAAACGCGGGGGTTCCCTTTATCCGCCATATTCGTGCGTGAAATCGAAACGACTCGCGCGATTGTTGCATACGTAAAACGCGCGCGTTCGTCGTAAACGGGTCGTTGCAGCAGCAGCAACGGGGACGCAACTATCCCCGGCGCGTTGCACTTCGAATACGGCTCTAACGCGAAATCGATCGAGCACGCGACGCGTCGAACAAAAAGGTGTAGGTATCTCGCCTCGAACGAGACGAGAAATTAGCCGCGGGAAACGACGATTATTACCCACCGTGGACGAAATTGATTTCGACGAGGATTTTCGATCGCGCGGAACAACGATTCTCCCTCGGTACGACCGTGGCCATTTCTGAAAATTGGAATTCCTTTAATCGTCGATGCTTCGCGAATTATTGGATATTACGCGTACGTGAATCGTGGCGGAGGATTCGTTCGCAGAGAAATTTCTTTCGTACGAAAATTTACTATCTTAGAGGTAATTGATTACTTTATTTGCCGAGAAATGGTGAGTGAGTGTGATTGTTACGGTTACTTGTAATTTTATGAATGACAGCTTATGTATGGTATGTTAAATTGTAATGGACCCTCTGTTTTATACGGTGTTGTATTTCAACTGACAGTAAAGTTATTTGAATAGTAGTCTCTTAAGCTGGAAAAGAATTTTCGCACGCCCCACGAGTATTTGACTAAAAAATGTAGCCAAAATTGCAATTTTTAAACTTAATTGAAAACGAAAAGAATGTTTTTTTTTTCGTATAATATTGTTGAAATAAACAGACATAATGGCCATTTTTGTGACGTCAAATTGACGTCGTCTCCACTTAAGGGATTAATTAAGATAAATTTAAGATAGACCAAGAATTTGAACTCTAAATTGCTAATTGATCACTTAAATTAAATGCAAAATTAAATTTCCTAGCATTCTGTTTAAGTTTCTCTGTGAGGATTATTTTACGATTTGTAATTCAATCGAAGTTATATCTGCTTCCCTTTATTTATTTGTATCATCCCTTTGTGAGTCAGATTTAAACATCGATAAATCGTGTTCATTTCAAAGAAAACTGAAAGTATCATTCGAATTGGTCAAGATTGACCGTAATTAAGACAGGCGTCTGCGTAGTTAGCCTATTTCTTCCCGTATCTGTACATACTAGCAGATCATAGAACGAAACAAAATGGAGACATTCCCTAACCATAACAGACACCAAGATGAAGAATAACATTAACACATTAGTACAGACTGCAGCCCGTGATTAACCCGTCATTAACCCGTCATTAACCCGTCATTCCGATAACCGCGTCGATAAGACGATTACCCCGGAACAATTAGAAAACGTCTGGAACTTCAATTGGATGACGGACGCCTCGATTGCTTCTAATTTCTTTGCTAATAAATCGACCTTATTTACGACAGCATAGAAATCCTCGTCCCAGTTAATTCCATCCACTTTCTGGCAACAGTATCATTAAACCGCATAAACCATATCTGCCAGAACATAAATTTCCTCCAATCGAAAACAAAGCTAAAAAGAATTCAGAGACCTGAACATTAATTCCCACTCTTCAGCACCCTCTTCATCCACAGTTTTAAATTAGCAACACATTAAATCTCCTCGACACACCGTACATAAAAGAGCGAAAAAAAGAGCACGGAAAAAAACCCGCAACGTCGCACCGCTAAAATAATTTCGCCGCGAAGCGGAAGCGGCCGCGATACTACCCCTAATAACCGGCGCGGCGTTTCGTCGCGAACCCCGGCTGTAGCTTGAAGAGTTTCCGGTCGTCGCAACAACGAAACTAGGTGAATTATTCCGGGCTGTTTGAAAAGGATTTCGCGCGAGTCGAAAAATATCTCGCGTTCCCCGGTCTCGCCCCGGAAGAAGCGTGAAAAACGAACGAAAGAAAAAGAACAAGGAGCTTGCTGGAGGGAGGGGGCAAGAGGAGGAGGGGAAAAAAAAGAAGATCCGTGAAGGGAACGAGCGCGCTGAGGAAAACATCACGTGGTACACGATGGCGAACGAGGAAAAAGGGGCCAGTAAAAAGCGTTCCCCGGCCCCCACTGTGTGTCTAAATTCTTCAGGCTGGCGAGAATTAAGAGAAGAGAGAGAGAGAGAGAGAGAGAGATAGGCGGTAATAATCTCGTTAACGAGAAGTCGCGCGATATCACGAGAGCTGCTTTTCAGCCGCTCGATGTCCTCGGTACGTTTAGCGGACGTCGCCAGTCGGCCAGCTTCAGGCAGCGCGTCGGGGATGCCTTGTCAAACGAAATTACGGAATGCGCACCGGAGTCGAGAGACGAAGACGACATCGATGGCACACCCGGGCGCATACGTCCTCCCCTCGGCGTCGTTTAAAGCCCAACAAATTAGCCTACTTAGCCTGTTGGGCGTGTGGACGAACCAGCCCATGAGTGAAGAAAAAAGCACTCGAGTTGGCTCCGTTGCGCGGTTCCGAAAGCTGAATCTCCACGTGTCAGAAATATATTAGCTGGATGCGTTCATTTTAGCTGAGAACTACGGCTTCTTTTAGATTCTTGGATGTGTCCCGCGTGGTCCGTCACAATCCTCTTACCAGAAGGATCATCTAAGAACAATGTCCTTATTTCTAAGGGAACGTAACGTCAGGCTACTTGTTATTTCAACATTTCTATCTGGTCTTGCATAAACAAGCCTTTTTACGTGGAGGAAATCTTCTAAAAATAAAACGACATTCGTGGACCCTGGGTAAAGGGCCTGGTTAGTATGAAGTTCCTATCCCCTATAATATCTATGGTCGTCTGTCTCTAGCGCATTAGAGATTTGCTCCAAGAACTTTTCTGAACGCATCACAGAGCCTTCTCCCCCCTCCCCTCGCCCTGTGCCTTTGTATTTTAGGTTTCCTTTGGGGCAGAACTTCCCAAAATGGGTGTTGAGGAGATCTGAAGGTCATTTTAGTTATTTTATTTTCTTTATTTTTTGCTTACACACTGAGTCGCCTCACCTGGTCTAATTTTAAAGTTGCTAGGCAACTTTAGTTAACAGTGCGCAATAGGCCTTAGTCTCGTGCATCCTCTTTCGAGATAACACGCATTCGAAAACCCTCTAATAAATCCTACAAGAATCAACGAACGACAGGACATCATCCGCTTTCGACTCCGCTTAAAACACGTTTACTTTAACACAAGGATTTTGTTTTTCTGACAGGTGTTTGCTTTTTCTGTTGCAGGACGATCATCGTGGCTTCAGGCGGCAGCTCGAGGACAAACGACCGATCGTCGAGAACAACCTGCTGAGCGGCAGACAGTACATCGCGAACGAGCCTCCGCTCTCCGACACCTCCGATTCTGAAGGTGAGCTTCTACCTTTCGTATTTTTAATTTTTCTTCTTGTTTTTGCTCTGTTTATTCGTCTCGTGGACTGGTTTCGTTATGAGAACGAGCTGGTTGGGATTCCTGTCGGCGAGGAACTTGGAGAAAAGATGAACGTGATAGGCATGGTGATTTGCTTCCCTGATGAAGCGGTACTGGGTGATCCGTAAGAGTCAGTGGGGAGTTTAACGACTGTTCAGTGCTCTTCTGGCGAGGGTGAGGGGAAGTTATCCAGAAGCAAATTAGAATATTCAATTTTGGGTGGAGTGTTTATGATAAACGGAGGGTTGAATCTTTTTACTGTTGGATCGTGCGATGTTCAGAGCGTGGTGGGGTGGAATATACGTAATTGAATGATCAATGCACATACTCCGTTGACGCGGACGAAAGCGAAACAAAACCGAGTTCAACGTTCGCCTGGTGAAAACAGCCGTCGTTGAACCCGAAAAACCGTGGCCAGAATGGTGGCAGTACGACGAAAGTTTCCGCGAAAGAGTAAAGAAAGTCGGCCAAGTACAGTCGTTAGTTTTCTGGGAAGCCGGGTTCGCAACGCGCGCGCGATTGAATTCGCCAATAGACGCGAAGGCCTAGTAATTAAGAGCTCTCTGTGGGGGTGGGGGAAAGCTTTCAATTCCGGTAATTCGTGCCATTCTTCTTCGCCGCGATTTTTCATACCAATTAGAGGCGAGAGGTGGTGACTGACGAAAGAGAAAGAGTGAGAGGTGAACGGACCCGATGGGTTCGAAGAATTCTGCTTTTTATTTAATTCCGCGCTCAACTTATAAGGAAGTCGTAATGTAGTTTAATCTTTACGTTAAACCAAAGGGTTTATAGAAGATACACACGTTAAAAAAAAAGGAATATTAGGATGTAAAATACCAATTGTAGGAATTGTAGCGCCTAGTCCCTCTTTTTTTTATCTATGAGTCAGTGTGCAAGATTGAAAATGGGTAAGATTGATTAAGTATTCCCGTTAAAACAGAAGATTTATAAAAAATAGAAGCGTTAGAAAAAGAGAATATTGGGATTTAAAGTACCAACTGTACGAATTGTAGCGTCTAGTCCCTCTTTTATTTTTGGTTTGTGGGTCAGTGTCCAAGATTGAAAGAAGGTAGGATTGATTAAGTCTTCTCGTTGAACCGAAAGGTTTGTACAAGATAGAAGCATTAGAAAAAAGAATATTTGGATTTAAAGTACCGACTGTACACCACCACGAATTATATTGTCTAGTTCCTCGTTTCTTTTCGGTCTGGGGGTCTGTGTCCAGGATTGAAAAGGGGTAAGATTGATTAAAGTTGTAGTTTGAAAGGGCGGCCCCACACGAGAGAGTTTGTCGCGGAAGAATGAGAAGAGGATTGTTAAGTGGACTGATAAAATACGAGAAGTTTTCTCCTCGTTCCCTCTCTCTTTCATTCACCCCCTACTCCTTTAACCCGTTTTTCGTCGCATTTCTTTTTTTTCCTTTCTCTTTCTCCTCCGTTTACTTAAAACCACGGAACAAGAGGCGGCCCTTGGAAACGAGCTTCATTCGTTCTTGTCACCGCTTTTCACGTACAATAACCGTCGCGAGCCTGTAACCGTGGGCCCCTCTTGAATATTTCATTTAGATAATTCCACCCTCTCGAAAAGCGGCGGGATTATTAAGAAAAGTGAAACACGGAATTTATGGTTATTTGACCGACGGGGGAGGGGGGTAGACGTTCAGGCGGATGGAGGAGGAGGAGGAGGAGCTCTTGCCAGAAAATGGGCTCGTCCATTAAACGGGAAAACAAACTCTGTTCTGTACATCCTCGCGGAACAAAGGACAATACGTTTTACGGTCTAATTGTGGCTGGCAGGGAATACCAAGAGACGGTTTGATAATGGTTATTAGCCCCGAGATACGACTGGGACGATTTAAGAGATTGCAGAGAATATAATTGCAACTTTATTGATAGATCTGCTGGGTAATTGGGATCGTCTATTAAAATAGTGTCTTGGAAAATTTGCTGTACAGGTAACTCTTAACTGTGAAATATTAACAAAATTCGAAATAAAATATGTAATTTAGATCTTATGAATCTAGTAATTGTTCACAATAATTACCGTTTATAAAAGGGCAATCTTACGAAGAAAAACGATTGTGCCAGTTTTCTCCAGTTTCAAATATTAATTACAATATTGTATTCCATCGTTTCACCATTAAGATATATAAAATGACTTCCTGTTCCACAAATGGTACGTAGGTCTCAAATTTGAAATCAGTACGGAGTACTTTTTAATTATCATTAAGACAGTAACACCGCCGTAATGGATTCTGTAGAAAGAAACACGCAATCACGTTCTCGACGCCCTCGAAACGGCTCGCGGAACGAAAAATAACGCAATTCCGAGTTCTCCGATGGCGAAACGAAAAGTTTCGCGGTTAACGAAACCCTCCTCGGGGAACTAGCAGGCGGTATCAATCGAGTTACAAGTATCGAAGTACCGCCGAAACTGGTGGGAGACATGCGAGGGTTAAAAGAGGAGTCCCAAAGGACACCGAAAACTCAAGTGAGTACTCCCGTCGAAGTTTCACAGGGAACTGCTGTTTCCCTCCTAATATCAATGCAATTCCGTCCCTTTCTCTCTGTGTCTGTTTGCCGCATAGTTCGTGCAAGAGGCTGTTGAAACAATTACATTTTAATGGTCCGTTGACTTCTGTTCTTTGAGAACGGCCCAGGAAACGGCTAAACTGGTAATATTCACGGGCCATTTCACTGAAATCGGTAATGGAAGATCTATTAAGTCGGGGGATAAAGTACACATCTTGTGAATCATTAATGAAATTCATAGATGAATGCTAGAAGGCAATAAGTGAAGTAATTCAATATTATTATATGAACCGTTGAAAGCATTAATGGTATTATTCTATTTTTAATAAATCTAGAAGATAGCTTCATTCAATCTTACGTATAAATCATTTAGGCCTAACTTTCCTAATAATTTATCAAGGGGTATTGCGTGTATCATTTCAATATCAGGTGATATTGTTCTATATCAATATCTGGGCACCATCAGTATAACCACTGTATCTGGATCTCAGAAATTTTCATTACAGGATGTTCTCTAAACCTCTAAATATCTTAACAACACATTTACCGCCTTATACCATTAATGCTTTCAAGGGCTCATATCAACACAGTACCTTCGGAAGCACAGCATAAATAATGGATACGGAAACTCTTCCATCCCTAGTAAACACAGACACAAGAAATACACTACCGCTCATAAGTATTAGGATACCTAGTTTGTACGAAGAAAATATGTCTTATATAAAAAAAACACTTATTAGTTTCTAGTAGCCTATACGATGTCCATCGGGTTTTAATATCCCCTGAATATTGCTTCAGACTTTTAGCAATTTCCGCAATGCCTTCTAACATCTACATATTCGATAAGTGTCCATACTACTTATTCGATAGCTATCCATACCACCTATTCGATAGCTGTTCATACCACCTATTCAATAAGTATCCACACCACACAGTTTATATATATATATATATTGAATAACACTTATCAAATAACCTACGCGCTAACTATCCACACGACCTCATCGATAAATATCTTCCAATACATACGAACGAGTGTGTATTATAAAAAATGGTCCATAAAAGATCAATAACACGCAGTGGGTACCCGTCGTAAATTCACCAGGTGAACGGAATCGTTATTTGGCGCACGGTCGACGCCTCGCCAGGAACACGTCTGGTTTCGCTCAATGTAAGATAATCAGCAAGAAGGGAATGCAGAGAACATCATGAAACGCCCGGGACCAGAGTCCGATCGGCACCGTCCTGTCGTCCCCTGCGCGAGGACAACCCGCTTCGCGGTCGTGCACGATTTCAGTCACTCTCCGCGGGGAGAGAGTCACGTTCGATGAAACGTGCACGGCATCGGTGCAGTCGACGGGCGTTGTCGTAACGTCAATAAATTTCAACCGATATAACGCCCCTTGTCGCGGAAGGGGGGAAAGGGGGGCTAGATACCCCGTGCACACACAACTGTGCACCCCTGAAACTGTATCGAGTTCTCTGACCGGCCGGATTTCGCCCGTGAAATCGAATCGAATCCGGCGTTCCCTCCAATCGAAATCGTTACTCGATGGTCCCGACTCGTTCTGAAAGCTGGGAAAATAGCGGACAGTTGCATCGTCGTTCAATTGAACACCAGACAGATCGAGGGAAATCGGCGGCCCTGCGATAGACTCGCGGAGAGATAATATTAGGACCTGACGATGACTTTTGACTGCCGTTTGATTCTTGACGTTTTTGATGGTTGTGTAGGATAGTATTCGTCAAATATATGGATAAATCGTGTATGTAAATATGGAATTTTATGAAATATAGGTGATAGAGATATCGTTCGAAAGTTTGGGGCCAATTGTCATTTAACTCTCGAATAGTAAGGTGGATTTTAAGGTCGGACTTGGCAAGGTGGGGTCGGATCTTTTTTGCTGTTTGCAGACAGATAAGTACTAAATGTTTACTAAATAATAAAAAAAACCTTAACACGCTGGAAAAAGATTGCATCTTCCACCTGCGAATGAAATAAATTACACGTTATCTATCCACGACGAAGAATCAATCGCAACAGTAAAAGTCTCAGTACGAGAGATGAGACTTCTGTCAAACGACGGAAGCTTCGAGTTCTTTTACGTCTATCCGTGCTATTAATCTCGCATCGTTATAGAGCCGTGCCGGTGGCTTTTTGCGAAAAAAGTGGGCGGAGTCACTCGAGGGTATAAAGAATTATAATGCGAAATTGAAATTGTATAAATTCCGCCAGAAGTTTCTGAAACGGAAGCCGCGTGGATGAGAAATTGTAAAAAGAGAGAGCCGTGGGGCTGAAAGCCAGAGGAGGTGGTGGGAAACGGGACTGGGGGACGGTTGAAAGAAGAACGTGGAGCGTGGGTGTACGTGACTGGAAATCGAACACGGCAACTGTTGAATGGATGGCTTGCCGATGAAGAACACCGGGCCCCTAATTCGATTCGGCGGAAATAGTTTTTAGCTGTTTTCGTCGTGCGATCGTGACGTCTATTTAACCGGCCACGTGCGTCCTAATGGAGACTAACTCGCTCGATTTCTCGAAGTGGTTACTCGGTAAACGATTCTCTGGCCACCTGTCGATGCTCGAAGCACCGGAAGCATTTTGGCGTGGAATAACAAGTCGTGTACCGTTTGCAGAAGCGACGAAACTTGGAAGTTCATCAGAATTCGGATCAAATTTTTTTAAACGGAAAGGACCTTTCAAATTTTCAGACATTTTTTTTTTAAATACCTGGTATATATTGAAAGCAATATATGAGATGGGGTAGTACAACCGGGCAGGAGATGATTCTACATATAAGGAAAAATAAGTGGAAAAACAGGAATAAAATTATTTGGAATAATGCTTCGTTTTCGAGAAAATTGTGTTTGCAGATTCCTCTAAAATACGTGTAGTTGCGCTGGCAATAAGTATCGCCCAAAATAAGCCGAAAAAAAGAATAAAGTAATTTCGGGTGATGCTTCGTTCTCGAGATAATGGAACTTGAAAATTTATTGGATACGCGGGCAGTAGAATAGAACTTGGCTAACGCGTCTGTTCATTGCAGACTGTTTCTACTTATTGCCAGCGCGACTACGCACGTTTAATGTTGAAACCAAATTTTCGCGAAAACGGAACCTTAAATGAAAACAGTTATTCTTTTTTTGGACATATTTTTTCTTATAGAATCACTTCCTGTACTACCCGACCTGAGATACCCTGGATGAAACAAGTATGTAAAGGGTGAAACATGGAAAGTGGAACGAATCTTCATCGTGCACGAGTATTTCGAACGTTAAAAGTGATATCATAGATATTTATTAATAAGCAGTTCTACATTGTAGTTGAAATAGAATCGAGTGACCGTGTGATTTTAGACCGAACTTAGCAATTCATCGGCGAGGTCGTATTTTAGCGGCGCTGAATTTGCCCACCCACCTTTTTCCCCGCAGTACGGTGTACAAATCTAGACCGTCAACCCGTTTTTCGTGTGACGTATCGATCAACGAATCCGGGATCGAGAGATTAACCACGGGGCCCGGCGACGAGTCACGGGATAAAGAGCAGGTGGCACCATAAACATAAATCATCATAACACGCGGGCAGATAGGCCGGGCAACGAGCAGGTGGGGATAGTGGGCGTTATCAATGCTAAACATGCGTATAAAAACTGTCTCGCGTGGTATGATGCGTGATTCATAGGACAATTAATTCCCGGTGATAGTGCAGGAACCAGAAGCTTTATCCTCTGTCTCTCTGCGCAGTGACACTACTTCTATGGTTCGTTACACTCTCTGCAACCAATACAATCCGTCGAAACGATCACGAAAACAAATTTTTTTATGTTCTAAACTGAATATGAAATAAGTAGTCAGATTAAGGGGAATTTGTAAAATGGTAGTTGGTACTTTAAGTGTAACACGAAGCTAAATAGTGACGAATTCTTATTTGTCTGATGTGATATGGAATGATTCTACTGCCACTGAAGGAATATTGCGTATTTATATTAAAGTTACTCTCACAAGTAGCTGGTTATTACAGTAGATTTGAAGTAGAATCCTTTACGAACGAGTTTTGTCTCGTCTGATACGGTACAGGATCATTCTACTGTTAGAAAACTAATGCTGCGTTTTCACATGCGAACCACTATCGGGAGAAGATTTCGCTCAGTACAATTTTCTGACAACTGTAATTTTCAGAAAAATATTGCTCCCATTCTCGAGAATATAATTCATTGTTATCCCTTGATATCAGTTTCTTGGCTCATATCGATTCCAGAGTAGGTACTTCAAGATTATATTCTCGAGAATGTATTCCTGCAAGTTCTGTTCTCATGAAGAAACCCTACATCTATTAGGGAACAGTGTCGAATTCTTACACTCAGGCCTACATGCACTCGTAAGTTCTACCCTTGACGGTATAATTTAGAAGTGTTGACTCTCGATAGTAGGTCTTCAGCTTGGTATTCACTTAATCACACGACTTGTTCTTCCAACAACAAAATCGATACGTTTGTTAAGGAACAAATCATAAAAAATTTGATCTACTCACTCTACCCTTGAGACTAACAATATCAAAGTGACTACATAGCCTTAAAGATTAGTAATTAATATATTAACCTAGTTTATGTACCATTAAATTGGCCAGTGGACGATAAATTCCTGGCGAATACGTTTCATATGGATAATTTTCAAGACGACAGGATGTTATATTGACGTTGAACCGGTCGTATGCAGCCGGACGAGAATTGGACGGTGATTCGAGGGGCTACAGAAGCGCGGAGGAGCAGGCACGCGAATTGACGCGCAGCATTCGCCGGGAAGTGAACAAACTTTCGGAGCAGTGGAACGCCCTAATCGAACGTAGCGATGCGTGGAAGCGGAAACTCGACGACACCGCTAACGTGAGTACTTTGCCCCCTCCTCCTCAAACCTCCCACCCTTTCGCCTACACAGAAAGCCACTTACCCGCCGAGCATACTACCCGATATGAATACAAATATTTTGATTCCGTCAAAGGCTGCGGAACGGCTGCAACCGGTGATCTTCCCATCGGTACTCTTCTAGACGATAGTCCGGTTACAGAAAATCTCGTAGAAGTTCTTGCGTTAACATCCGTTTCGTTAAAAAATTCCGTGGTTCTGAATAACAATTATACTAGAAATCATATAAAATTGAGACAATTCTTTCTTATAAGTCGAGGTAAGTGGCTTTTCTCTTCTTTAACTTTTTTCTTTGAAAAAAATCGTTTGCTTATCAAAGTATTTATCTCTTCCAACCACATAATATTTTCCTCTTATTTTCAAACACAGGTGAGATATTAAAGATGTATAAAGAAATTTTCAATGGGATATCGTTAAACGGACATATTGTTATAAAATCCCGAGTAGGCAAGAGACGTCGTGCTTGAGCGTATTATTGAGCACGGAACAAAGTTAAAGGAACTTTCACCCCGTGTGGAAAGGCAGCACTTCACCCGCCGCCGTAAAATTTAACATGCAACAACCGTGAACCACCCTCGCTCAACTCGAAAATTTCACTCGACAACGCTCGAGAGCGCGAAGTTTGAATTGTTCTGTAAAATTGTATATCCGCTAATAATGCAGAGTACATTCCGCGAGAGGGTGAAAATTCTACTTAAAAGAACGTTGTTTTTCAACGACACAATATTTTTTAGAAATATCGCGATGCAACAATACAACATTATTGTCTGCAATAATTATTTCGAATACCTTTCATGTGTTTACACAATTCTCGTCCGGATTCGATACGATGCTCCAAAGGTATCAACAATTCCTCGGAATTTCAACTGGGTTACACGACTCAGAAATATTCTTGAAACAACATCGCCTTAGAGTTGAAAGGAAACTATTACTCAAGAAGTAACCGGTCAAGAGAAAACAATCCCCCCCCAACTAGGACTCCAGAACCAACGTTCCACTATAAAAGCACAATCAGATTAAACGGTGCACCGCGACGGGATAAACAAGTGGGCGTAATATTTGGACTTATCAGAAGAAGAGGGTGGTCCTGTTGTGACGGTTCAATTCGACCTCGATCCTCTAACCCACCCACCCTTGGTACGTCGTATCGCTTTATTATTGCCGGTACAATTTTCTCTATCGCGGGGACGTTCCATTTGTCGAAACGACTTTGTACCCTGGAGGGAAAACAAGCCACCCCCGCCATCCCCTATCCGTTGGTGAATGCCGGTAAAAGACGTCCCCACCCTGGATGAAAAAAAAGTCTGTCTCCGCGGCAAAGGCGATTTTTCGTTGCCGTGTACCGTCGAACGAGATCCGCTTCTGCACCTAATGACGACGAAATTCCAGCCTTCTACCCCCTTTGATACGACGGATTACCTTCGTTCGCGGCGATCCCCCCCTTCACGGAAATATAGATTATTAGCTTTGTCAACGACACAAGGCGAGTGATTATCTTTTGGAGAGCAGTCACTTCGAGCGATAGTTCGTAAGTTTTAGGAGGTGTGTTTTGCTCGAGATAAATTGTGTTGGTGGTAAGAGCGAAACAGGCGAAAAGAATCTAAAACGAAACAATTAATTCACATTACAAAATATGAGCCTTCCAAAAAAAAAATTTCCACAAAACTAGCGCTGTCTTTGATCGCATCGTTTCAAGAATATAATTGCCCATTCTGTAGACGAAGAATAAAAAAAAATTGCATGGAAAGGTCAGGTCGGCCGTTTAACCCGAAATCCAACGACTTCGTCGAAGAAGGTAATAACTTCTTTTCAACGGTGCTTAAAATAATACGGAATCCAGTGGACCAGAGGAATCTGTCTTAATATAATTCGAGTGAGTCGGGGGTCTCCGAACGGTCCACCGTTTCCCCTTCCATACCACGAAGTCTCTTCGTACATGTACGAGTATAATTCATCCTTTGTCGAGGATTCCACGTCGAAACGAGAGAGTCACTCGAGAAATCCCCGCGATCCTTCCTTGGCGGACACGACCACTCCATCCGATTTCCGTTTGAAAAAATTAATGCAAATCTTTGGTCGATTCCCCGAGCCGATGAACGTGGTATGACCGAGGGGCCCCGTTTTCATCTTAATTGAAACGAAAATGATATTTTCCGCGACGAGAAACGGACGATGGGGAAAGGTTTCGGTTTGTTCCCTCTTTGCGCCGCGCACTTATACACGGCCAAAAGGTTTCATAATTAAAATGGAAAAACTCTTTTCCGTTTCCACGGTGCAAGGTAGTTTCGAGAGAGTATTTTAATTAAAGGGATTATACGATTCAATGGGCGTGGAATAGATACGTTTCACAGAAGATCGTGGACGCTCTCTAGGAGAACAAATACAACAACAAAAAGCGAAATGAAAACGTACCTTCTCTCCAGACGTATCAGACACAATAATTTTATTTCGTTCGACTAGTATTGTGGTATTTCAACGATAATTCCTGAGACTAACTCGAACACGACAGTCGAAATTCATATATTCGGCATAATCATTTCATTTGATTAATCACTTGATTAATCGCTCGTCTTTGTCGAGACAACCTTAATGTACTCGCGCCAGGAGTCACGGTGCATCGTTACAATTCGAGGAAAATTACCACATGAAATAATCAAATCCCAAGGAGAAATGTTTCCTGATATTTAATCACCGGTCGAATCAACGGTTCATCGCTTACAATTAATTCAGCTCGCGAGTGATCCTCTTGTAAAACGTTGGAAAAGTTAAACCCCCCCTCTGAGGGTTGACCAAGACGAGAAAGAAGAAAAAACACAAACGAGAAACGGCCTTGTAGAGGCGAGCAATTAAAAGTGCATCAGGTCGACGATCCTTTTACGATCGTTTGATCGACGCGATTTATATATATGTACACCTTGGAAGATCAAAGTTTCCCGCGCGTTCGGCCGGCCCACGGCGACCGCGAATGCATAATTCATGAGCGAAACACAATTTAACTTTTAAATTCCACCGTCTCTTCCCCTGGCTCTCTCGCGTCTTAATTATCGACTATCCCGGTAATTACGAGCGACACCTTCGTATTCCGCGGCTACCGGTGACGTTTTATATCAATTCCGTTTCGTATCTGTAATTTGGACACTCGCCGAGAAACCGGAAGTTACGGATCAGGCGGGGATCGTTAAAGGTTTCTCAGGGAGGGAATTTCATTCTGTAGGCTTGTTGTCTGGTCAGACATGTTCGGGAATGTTAACGGAGGCTTTGAGTAAGCTGATATAAATTCAATGGTGGGAGAGGTTCACGTCCTCCAATGTCCATTCCTTCCACAATGTCCCTCGACAGTGGGAAATCGCTTGTCGATTTTCGCATCTAAAATCGTATCTTGCGAAGACAGTGGAAATAAAGGGCTTGCGGTGTCTTAACCGTCTGTAATCACACTGGGTCAAATTTACCCAGAATTTGACTTCGCGAAACGTATGTTCCACTATAAAAACTTATTGTATAAAAATTAAGTGTCATTACGTGTGTTCAAATTATAGTAAAAATAGAAAACCAATATATCGGCTCAAGGTATTTTACGGAAAACCCACGAAGCTGATATATCGCCACTAAGGTATTAAAACTGTTAAACAACAGCTGACCCAGTGTAACAACCACGTTTGACAAAAAGAGCTGTGACAACGGAAGGTAAAGTTTAGCTCGATTTTACAGAATAAAATTGAATTAATGAACGGATGAAACGGTATTATCAATTGTCAAGGAATAAAAGTCAATATGAAATGATGAGACTATCGATCGATTCGATGCATACGATAAAATTTTATTCCACTGGAATCGATTGATACAAACGCAAGATCTTAGCTCGTGACTTTTACGAAACGTACAATAAATTCTCCCGTGAAGCTCGATCTCGGAGTCCAATTATTTATGCCCGTTTGTACACTCCGCGAACGTTCAGTAGTACGTGAGGATTTTTCGAACAAGGTCCGATAGTGTTCCAGCACGGGATAACATCTAGAGCACATTCTCCGGCGGGAGATTCAGGGAATGTTTGCCTGGCGATAAAATATTTCAGTAGACAGTTGGTACACTATCCCAGATTGCAGCTTCCAGCTGAAGATAGCAGAAGTTAGGACCGACAAATGTTAACACTCGTTCTACCATCCCCATTTCGAATTCCTCCGTGTCTTGCGTCGCGCGCAGTAAAATGCCTTTCTGTTGAGCCGGTAAACCTCGAAAATTATTCGGACCTTTCACGAGGGTGCGGTGTCTCTCTGTTTAAAGGGAGTGGAGGGGAAATGGAGCGTAACGTTCCTTGCTTTACAACATCTCGACTCGCTGTTCGACGCGCCACTTTTTAGTCCTCGATTAACATGTCACCCTCGGGCCACCGAAGATCGACCGCCACAAAGAGCGATTCTCCTGGAAAGAAAAAGAAAAAAACACGGATATTAAAACTTTGCGAAGGTGCATCGAATGGTGTTGCTGTTTGCGCAACGCTCGACTGGTGTTTACTTGAAAAACAGGTCTCTGTATTTTTACGAAAAATCAACCTGCTGGATTCCTTTTCCCCCGAGGTCACTGCCCTGACCTACGACCGAGGTTAAAACATTATTGAAAATTCTCTTTATTTCGACGGATTGTCAAAAGTGAACGATAAAAGTCATAAATCGTCGTAAATATATGCGATTAATTACTACGGGCTGTTGGACTTGTTTTAAATTATAGTACCGTATTAATTTAACGCAATAATTTTGTAACGGTACTTAAATGGTCCAGACTCTTTGCAACGTACGTGTCACCCATATTTGGATGACGTGGCAGTCAAAGTATTAATTTTACGACACCATTGTATTTCATGCCTTGCAATCATATCCATTTTCCAATATTAATGGCAATTTCACTGTTTATCTCACAGATCACACATTATGAGTAAAAGACACTAACCGAGCTGGACATTGCCCACAAATACTCATACAGTTGTCAAAGAAATTATTGTTAAAACAGAACTTCCACATATTTCATT